TTGCAAAAACCCACAGTTGTAAGTGAACCCGTCAGCCAAACCCTATAGCCCTAAACCCTAAACCCGAGAGAAGCATCTGGCAGACCTTGGAAGCGACTGAAGTCTAGTAGAGGAGGAACCACCAAAGCTGTAGCTTCATGGGGTTACGAGTAAACCCTAAACTGGATCAATGTTAGGGATCCTTCATACTTTTTGGGGTATGGGATTCCTAATATTTATATAAAAGGATCCTTTGGAAATGTGTACTAAGTAAACCACTTACTACTGTTGCATGGCCATATAACAGAACTTCCATTGATAGCACCATTGCGACGTTCAGGAATATTCGTCATTAGGGGCTGGACGTTTTGCGGCTTGACCATACCCGTTGATACTAGAAATCCTGCACGACTTTAGTATACAGGAACACCAGAATTCCCAAGGTACGTAGAAGGAACCAGAGTCATGCAGGATGTTTAGTATCCACCCCCTAAACCCTAAACATCGACTCCGAAACCCTGCAACCTAAACCTATACATCCCTCCAGAGGTAGGGGAATGTTTAGTATCCACCATAGCACCCCATAAACTGTTTCACTGCGGACGGATGTGTCGACAGCAACCCTGAAAACCTAAACCCTAAACCGTGAGGGTTGGGCTCTGTAAGGACAACCCTAAACCCGAAACCGTATGGGTTGGATTCTATAGGTACCCAAGTCTTAATTGGAATTAGCAGGGAATACGGGAATATCTTATCTAGGGGTTTAGGGTTTAGGGTTAGCAGTTATATTCCTTCATTCTTTACTGAGCCTCTCGCAAGTAATGTAGTTACCGTCATCTTTTCATGGTCACCACAATTGGGTGGATCCTTAACCCTCTAAATTCTAAGCCCCCAGGCCAACATCCTAAATACTCAGCCATGAGTCCTAAACACTGAACCATACAAGAGAAACTACCATATAATAATGTACAGCGTGGGTATATAACATAAGGATCCCAGGGTTAAGGCTCATTCTAGAGGCCTACGGTTTCAACCATTGACCAACCCCGAACCCCGCAGCAGGTGGAGGTTACCGCGTGGTTGGCATCTCTGGTCAGTCTCCCGATCCCTGGGAAGCATCAGCCTACTTGGAAGTTCAGGATAGTGGTAATTCAAATATCAGGGGATATGGGGGAACAGCATAATGTTTTATAGGGTATATAGGGATCCACGTAAATTATAAGCCAGTTCCAACTGTACTTGTAACCGTAGCGGTTGTAAGCGGAGTATGAGGTCAAGTAGGGATGATGCAAGGGCTTTCTTGAACATCTCCCATAGATCCTCCCCCCAAACTTCCATGGAAGCCCCAAAAGGGTTCGGTAGAGATTGCTGATCTTTTAACCTTAAACCCTAAACCCTAACGCGATTTCCAAGTCAGAACTAAACCTTTGAGGACATGACAGGTACGAATATCAACGAAAGGTTAAAGGTTTGGGGTTTAGGGTTCTAAAAGGTGCATTGAATTCGATCTGTGCTAAGGATCCTAGAAAGTATGCGCAGAGTTGGTAGGGTCATGTGTGCGAGTATAACTAACTCTACTCCCCCTGACATTGAAGCCCAAGACCCCCATAGTAACGACCATTCCCAATCCCTAAGGGTCCAGGGATGCTAATAATAGGGCTTTGGGGCCTAAATATCATTAATATTATAGTATTTGGGCCCTAGAACCCCTATTATTTGGGTCCTTGGACCCTTAACCCTAAACCCTATATAACCCCTTTAAAGGAACCCTATTATTATTTGGGTCCTTGGACCCTTAGGGAATATAGTGCAAGTATGTTGTAGGGGAAGTATATGCGAGGTGGGGTGGGGGTTCATTGTCGGCCTCAGGCTTAGGGTTTAGGGCAAACCCAAAATCCTCTTGTTTCCATTTTCTTGTCCACTCCCTACATACCCGTCTATAAGCCTGTTTGGGGCGGCTTTAATACCCTAAGCCCCAAATCCCTAAACCCTAAATCCATAAATCCCTAAACCCTAAGCCCTAAATCCCTAAATCCCTAAACCCTAAGCCCTAAATCCCCAAATCCCT